AAAGTCCTGGAATAAATCATGGTCTTGCAAGCCTTCATTTAAATCCTCTCCTGAACCACAGTGGCAGAGGTCTCCTGGCAGATCTTCCCGTTCCTATGGGAACAAGACCAAATTTGCAGCAGCATCACAACCTAGGGCCAAGCCCCAGAAAAACTCCCAACAGAGCCTTTGACTCCGATCTGTTACCCCGTCTTCCCACCCGCCTTTCCCCTTACCTGTACGCTTGGCAGTGGATAACGTCGGGTCAGTAGGTCCTCTCAGTGATCCGAGAGGGATACCTTATAGAGTCCATGCAAGTTCCCAAGAGCTCACACTTCATACTCCATCGTCACCTTCGCTCCTGGACGAGATAAAAAACCTCCTTTACAAGGATGCTATAGAACCGGTTCCAGTGCTGCAATTGCACCTGGGTTTCTATTCTCGTTATTTTACCATCCCAAAGAAGGACAGAGGTCTCCGCCCTATCATGGATCTCAGAAACCTGAACCAATACATTGTTTACAAAATTTTTCGCATGACAACTCTACAATCTATCCTTCTCCTTTTGGACGCTTATTTCCATGTGTCTATCCATCCGTCCCACAGGATGTTCCTCTGTTTTGCAGCTGGCAATGACCACTTCCAGTACAAAGCCCTCCCCTTCGGGTTCTCCATTGCGCCCCGCATTTTCACCAAGGTAATGGTGGTCATTGTGGCTCACCTTCGACTGCAGGGCATACAAATTTTCCCATACATCGACGATTGGCTGCTGATTGCGGAGACCGAGACAACCTTGCTCGAACACATTGCCTTGACTCTCAACACCCTAACAACCCTGGGGTTGCGGGTAAATCTAAAGAAGTCAATGCTCACCCCCTCCACTCGGGTGCAATTCATCGGCGCAATCCTAGACTTGACACTCTGCAGGGCTTTTCTTCCCTCCAAAAGGGCAGAGGACATCGTCACTCTCATTGGCCTCCTCAGAAAACAACATATGGCTGCAGTGAAGCAGATACAACGCTTGCTAGGGCTCATGGCCACAACTACATCAGTCCTGGTGTTTGCCAAACTTCGAATGAGACCACTCCAACTTTGGCTTATTCAAAAATTCCATCCCCAGTACCAACCTCAGTCCCAATGCTTCACTCTCCCGGAACATGTTCTAACCTCTCTCCTTTGGTGGGAAGAGAGGCAGAATCTACTGGAGGGAGCTCCATTCCACCATCCGTACGTGGTAGTCATCCTGACCATGGACGCATCTCTCTGGGACTGGGGAGCGCAACTTCAAGGCCTGTGTGAGGGGGGGCACAGTGGACCCTCAAGTGACACACCACCACATCAACTTTCTGGAGTTACTAGTCATTCAGTATGCGCTAAGATCCTTCCACCACCTAGTGATCCACCAGGTAGTTGTGGTTCTCACTGACAACACCACAGCACTCTGTTATCTCAACCGTCAGGGTGGGATGGTGTCCAAAAGCCTCTGTTGGCTAGCCACGGAATGAGTGCCAGTCATGGGGCATGTTTCTAGTAGTGGCCCATCTACCAGGAACCCTCAATGTGCAGGCGGACTTCCTGAGCAAAGGAGGCGCGTCATGGCACGAGTGGGAGATCAATTGGTCATATCTATCCCCGATTTTCCAGAAGTGGGGCCATCCAGATGTCAATGCATTTGCGATGTGCGAAAACAAGAAGTGTTGCCTGTTTTGCTCCAGAGCAGGAGGAGATCCGCTCTCTCTAGGGGGCAGTCTCCTTTATCCGTGGACTAGCAGATACCTGTTCCTTTTCCCGCCCTTTCCCCTACTCACCAAGGTGATAGCCAAAGTATTACAGGAAAGACCGTACTGCATCCTCATAACCCCATGGTGGCCCAGACAGCACTGGTTCCCCACACTTCTGCACATCTCCAAGGGCTCCTTCCTCCATTTTCCACTGGCGCCGAATCTCCTTCTGTCACAGGACAAGCAGGTGCTGCATCACGACGTGCCGCATCTGAAACTAACAGCATGGAGGATTATTTGGTAGCACTCAGAGATCGAATAGACTATGTGCTCTCTAACTGTCGTAAGCCTTCTACTAGAGCGTCTTATGCTGGGAAGTGGTAGACCTTCCTGTCTTATCTACATCTGTTGGGGCTACCCCCTCCCCCCACTGGTCTAGTTAAAGTGTTTGGGTTTTTGTTATCACGTTTGGATGTGGGCCTCAGTTATTCTTTGTTGTGGGTGTACTTGGCAGCCATCTCAGCTAATCACCCTGAGGTGGACGGAAATTCTGTCTTTACACACCCAAGGACCAAGCAGTTCTTGAAAGGACTCAGGCACTTGTTTCCCCTGTCCTGGGGCCCTTTGCCGGCTTGGGATCTCCCCCTGGTACTTACCAAGTTGATGGGCAGACCTTTTGAGCCCATGGCTACCTGTGACTTACAACTCCTCTCCTGGAAGACTGCCTTCCTGGTAGCGATTACCTCGACCAGGAGGTGGTGTTACCTTGGCCCCAGATGTCTCCTTTCTGCACAATGTCTGTAAAACTTTCCTCCAATACCACATTTCAAATTATTCAACCTTCTTCCCGTCAGCTTTCTTTGTTGTCTAACTTTCATGCCGATATAGTGTAATGGAGAATTCTTAGCAAAGCTGTTTGACACAATCAGACTGTGAGCAAATCAGGGATGTGTTCAGGTTACACTTAGGAACTTGAACAGCTGTCAAAGAAACTTGCAGCTACTTGTTCGTCAGATGATGACTCACAGATCATTCGGGGATCAGCAGGGATATGGGTCTAATCTGGCCCGTAGCTACAGTGGGGCTATTGGTGGTTCCACCTACTTCCTCAAAGACCTCCCTTCCTTAAAATTTAAAGGGATCCTTTAAATGCTTTTGAGAAGAAGTGGGGGTGGTGTGTGCCCCACCCTCCCCTCCTGCAAGGGGCCTTCAGCTGATCCATGGGGAGTTTGTGGCCTGCCAATCAACTGGAGGACCCTTTAAATCTTTGCGCGCGCACACCCTTTTCATTATGGGAAATAATGACAGCCCCACCAGAAAAAAATTTGTCCCACAACCCACAAAATCCTGGCTACGCAGCTGGCCCTAGTCCACTACCCCCACCCAGCAAAATAGCTACACAGTGAGGTTGCTCCATGCCAGGCAGGGACGGGGAAGACCTTTGATCTCTGCATTGCAAAAGGGAGAGGAGATAAAGCTGTGTCCCCGTCCCCCATGGGTGGAGACAGAAACAATTCTTCTAAGCTCCCCACTGCAAAAGACAAAGGAGAAAGAGCTAATTTCTT